AGTGTTCAATAATGAAATATAGATCAAAGATTAAAACTTATTATAATTTTGCTTAACAAAAAAACTCCAAAAAGATTAAGTCAACAAAATAAAATTTAAAATTTAGGTCCAAAAGTACCACTTCACATGCACATTTATTAAGGACAAAAAAAGGGTTAACACTTCGATAAAAGATAATAAAAAGTATCTTTCTCTACCACAAATAAAAATAAATCAAAAATATTTTCTACTTCTCTCAAACTCAATTTTGTTCTCATTTAAACAAAATTAATAAAGATCCACAATAAAAACTAATTAATATAAAAAAAACTTCTAATAAAGTTGTTATCAGTGAAAATAAAATACAATAAAATAACAAGTAAACGTTGCATACATAAACAAGCTAATGATCATATAAAAAAAAATTAAAAATAGTAAAATAATTTAATAAGATATGAATATATACTAATTATAGATCATGTAATACTATAATTTTCATGAAAAACATACAAAACAAATAAGAACATAAAAACAGTAAGGACACAATAGATTGTATTCTAAAAAGTGCAGGTCATATGAGAGATGAGAGAGACAAACAGATGTATAGATCTGTTTGTTAAAAATGTGTACTTAGTCATCATGATCTATGTATATTTATAATTCCTATAAATTATATGTAATAGATTATATGCAACCAGATAGAATGGGTATGAAACAAGACACATGTAATGTTTAATATATATTAGATGACGAAATTACTAAAAAAAAATAATATATATATATATATGTGTGTGTGTGTGTGTGTGTGTGTGTGTGTGTGTGTGTGTGTGTGACACCATGTTGTAAAATTAAACATCTTAACGGTCCACACATTATTTTTGACAAATTAAAAAAATGCATAAAATATTCAATAACATATTTATATTTAATCCTTGCATGGCATCCAATAATAAATTTATTTCACTTAATCAGTTTCATTGACGAAGACTCGATAGTGAGAGGACAAGCACAGACTACAATTATTGCGAGATACACAAAAATTTCAATCTTTTGAATGAGAAGAGACACAACAGAGCCGCCCCTAGAGCCTAACTATTAAAATAGTCGCTTAGAGCCCCAAAATTTTAGGACACCAATTTAATTTTCAGTCATTAAAATAGATTCATGTTTTGACGCATTTTTGAATGGATCAAGTTAAATGCCCTATATAATTTACAAGTTTATCTAAAACTTTATAGAAAATCCTAAAATGTAACAATTTTTTGACAAGTCTATGTAAAGCCTTATAGAAAGTCCTAAAATATAATAAAGTCTTCTAAAAAAAATCTAAAAGTAATAACTTCTTGCTTTAAATTAGCGACCTCTCTCAAATTGTTTTCACTATTTTTTCATCCACTCTCACTGCCTCTCTCCAACTCCTTCTCTCATTCCCATTCTGATTGTCTTACTCTGGTTCTTTGTCCTTATCTCTAACTCTTTTACTATTTTTTTAAACATTATTCAATTTATTTATCTGTAAGATCACGACTTCACACTTGCGCCCAATTTATTATCTGATTCCGCCCGATCCCAAAAACCACTAAAAACTCTTAGTAAAATGTCTGATAATTATTAAAAAAACAATTGTTATCTTCCTAAAATATTAAATGAGGTCACATGTAAAATTCTTGCTTTAGGCCTCAATTTGTGTTAGGCCACCATTGTATTCTAAAAAGTGTAGGTCATGTGAGAGATGAGAGAGACAAACAGATGTATAGATCTGTTTGTTAAAAATGTGTACTTAGTCATCATGATCTATGTATATTTATAATTCCTATGGATTATATTATTAAACAGTTGCAACCAGATAGAATGGGTATGAAACAAGACACATGTAATGTCTAATATATATTAGATGACTAAATTACTAATATATATATATATATATATATATATATATATATATATATATGTGACACCATGTTGTAAAATTAAACATCTTAATGGTCCACACATTATTTTTGACAAATTAAAAAAATGCATAAAATATTCAATAACACATTATATTTAATCCTTGCATGGCATCCAGTAATAAATTTATTTCACTTAATCAGTTCCATTGACGAAGACTCGATAGTGAGAGGACGAGCAGAGACTACAATTATTGCGAGATACACAAACATTTCAATCTTTTAAATGAGAAAAGACACAACATAGTCGGTCCTAGAGCCTAACCATTAAAATAGTCGCTTAGAGTCCCAAAATTTTAGGACACCAATTTAATTTTCAGTCATTAAAATAGATTCATGTTTTGACGCATTTTTGAATGGATCAAGTTAAATGCCCTATATAATTTACAAGTTTATCTAAAACTTTATAGAAAATCCTAAAATGTAACAATTTTTTGACAAGTCTATGTAAAGCCTTATAGAAAGTCCTAAAATATAATGAAGTCTTTTAAAAAAAATCTAAAAGTAATGACTTCTAGCTTTAAAGTAGCCACCTCTCTCAAATTATTTTCACTATTTTTTCATCCACTCTCATTGCCTCTCTTCAACTCCTTCTCTCATTCCCATTCTGATTGTCTTACTCTGGTTCTTTGTCCTTATCTCTAACTCTTTTGCTATTTTTTTAAACATTATTCAATTTATTTACCTGTAAGATCACGACTTCACACTTGCGCCCAATTTATTATCTGATTCCGCCCGATCCCAAAACCACTAAAAACTCTTAGTAAAATGTCTGATAATTATTAAAAAACAATTGTTATCTTCCAAAAATATTAAATGAGGTCACATGTAAAATTCTTGCTTTAGACCTCAATTTGTGTTAGGCCACCATTGCAAAAGATTAACAGATAGTACTCACTCACATACAATAATTCTTATTTCTCCTCACAATCACACAAAACATTCACATATTGTACTCACAACAATGATACACTAACCCAATTAATGCAGATAGACATACCAATCCACACCAATTCTAACAGCTGCCTAGCTTTATATATAGGTGCATAAGTTAAGTCACTAACAACATAAAGTCCTCGTGTTGCACCCCTTTAAAAAAAAAAACTAGCATATGAGTAAGAAGATGGAAAACGAAACTGAGTGTCCAAATGTGAGGGTGAAGGATTTCATCGTAGGAAAAGAGGATGAGAACCACCACGTGGCTAGAGAAGATGTCGTCAAGGAGGATAGTGCGAAATCAAGTACATAACTAACAAACTAAAACAAAAGGGGCTCTCAGGTGAGCGCCACTCATCGGACGGACTTCCACTCAGACTAGAACTGGAGAAGGACGGTCGAGATGATAATTTGGGATCATTGATGCAGCCACAGTGGATCAAAATGATCCCAACTATGAGATTGATCGAGTGTTTCACTATTATGCAATCGCTTAATATTTTATGAATGAACTACTTAGCCTCTAGGCTTTTTAACTATACATAAAACCATCACAACTCAAAAATCAGAGTGAATAGAACTCATGTTTAACATCACACAATCCCCACAATTACAATTCCAAATATACATGCTCTTCACTCCGTATGCATTAAAATACAAATGTGATAATATTTGATTTGTCGTTCAAGTAGTCATCCATTGAACAAATAATAACCGCACAACTTTTTCCCACTTTATTATTGATATCACAACAAGAGCAAATAGAGAATTTGGTTGGTTCGTAATCTAAAGTCAGACATAGCTCCACACACCTCCATCTAGATTTTTTTCCTTTGTTCACAATTCTTGGTCCACAGGGCAACCTATAACTCATGAAATTATGAAGGGGTGAGATTTTATTCCTAGTAAGAAAATAACTGGACCCCACGGCTCTCAATCCGAATGCAATGAACATGGTCAGGTTAGATCACATGGTATTCATGATCTGTATGGACAGTGTAGCTGTTATTTGAATTGGTTTTATGTTATTGACAAACACAAAAAAAGGGTATCATTTTTATTTTATGTATGACGAATATTGTTTGGGCGTGAGAAGTTAAGTCAATGTCATTGGAAGACCCACTTTCAAAGGAATTTATGCGTCATTATTATAAAGTAACATGACTGCAAGTAAGCACAAATGAAAACTAAGTAAAAGACTAATACAATCATGTTCTATAGACAAATGAAAGTTCCTAAATCATTATACAACATTTTATCAAGAGATACTTCATGAGTTATAAATTACAACAATTGCCAAATGCCAACATAATTGATTGCATTAATCGTTGAGGGGTGAAAATGATACTTATCCAATGTTGTGAGGACTAAACATGTATTATGTGGCATTTTCCACCACCAGTTTGAATGTCTATTATTAAACCTAAATTGAAAATTTTAGAGACTACAATGATACAATTATAAAAATAATGACGTGAGTGGGATGAAACTCATACTTCTTGAACAAACTATACATTCTCCAGAAAGATTTATTTAGCCACTTTCATACTACAATCAAAATTTTGTATAATGTGAGTTTCTTGCATGGGCGGAGCCAAGATTCCATGTTAGAGGGGACAAAAATATAAATAATAACAATTAAAAACTGGTATAAAAAATATTCTCAGATTTTCATTAGTAAGGACCGAATTGGGTGTCATTGTCATATAAAAAATTTCATAACTTAAAATATGTGGAATATATTAGGATACATATTGTATGAAAATTAAAACCTCTATCAAGAATCATCTCAACACTATATTAAGATGATAATTATTTCATAATACCTAGTCAACTCAATACTATATTAAGATGGAAGGCGGCAACGTTTTCACAAATATCAAGAATCATCACAAGTTGATCAATTTTATGATAAAACTTATCAACAATTTCCTTTTAATTTTTTTTAAATAGATTTTTTTTTCCTACAAATGGTGTAGATGTTTTTGGGTTTGTATATTTACCATTTGCATCTATTTGTGAGTTACTTGATTACAAGTCACTAATTTACTAAAAATGAATAAAGGAAACCTACACAAATTTTTTCGTTTTGAAAAATAGAATGAAGTATTAAATAACATAGATATTAGACAACAGTCACCCCACTAGGAAAGGCGTAGCGGCAGGAAAACACTTGAGCCCCCTCGGCGTCGATCTCACTGGCTTCAACATCAAGGAAAATCTATCACTAGGTATCGTGGTAGGAAGTAGGTGCTTGCAACATGGTGAAAATGGGAGGAAGTTAAAGGAAAGAAACCAGAGAATGAGACTAGCAAACAAGGAAAAAAGTACTCAAGCGTAAAGGTAAGAAGCCTGCATACTGGGGATCTATTTATGAAAATCCCAAACGGTGTGCGTCAATTCAATAAGATGCAGATTTATACGAAACATTAGGGAAAGTTGTAATATTAAATTCTTTTATCTGGTAAATTAAATTCTTGATTATTAAGTTTAGATTTAGTTTTAAATTAGTGAATTCTTAGTCAATTTTAATTATTTAAATAAAATTGAATTGATATAAAGTTAGTACTTGAAAATTATTAGTAATAATTCTTCGTGGAAACGATACTCCACTTATCACTTTATTATTTGTTGATCGTGTATATTTGCATGTAAATTGTCATGCGTCCATCGTATTGAAAGCTCCAACCACGTGTCGAAATGGGGGGGGGGGGGGGAGGCGTTGCTTTTGAGGAGATACCCTCACCACTCTCAACTGAATAAAATTGTCAAACTTGGGATACACGAAAAGAAGAGGGAAAAGCCCAAAAATAGACTCAACAAACCAGAACTGTTCAAGAAATAACCTCAGCCAATCAAAGCAACTCAGGGGAAAGTGATCAGCTCAGGTTTGACAAGGGCCCGAACGATTTCAAGTAAAGGCGCTTAATTCAACTAGTAGCCCGGGATAACACAACGGCAAGAGAGCAGGCTAAATGTAGTTTAAGCCACCTAAGTCACCCATTATTTCTCGTTCACAAGAAGAAATAAACATAGGAAAAAAGGGAGAGAGATAGAGAAGATAACAAGTAAAAGAATATGCAAGCGCCTTCATAAAAAAAAGAAGAGATATACATAAAAGTTTCACTACCAGGAACAAAATTTTACTTCTACAAAAGGTCCAATACAAAGAAGAGATGACAATAGCAGCCAGTAGTTCATCACAGTGAACGTCCTAACAGAGACTAAATTTTGGCAACAGGTCCTTTAGCCCCATCGGTAGGCTCGACAGTGGCTTCCCCATCCGCATCCACAGGTTTTGGTTCCCAAATCTCCAGCATAAAAGAGTCCAGATCAAGGTCAAGGAATGCCTTCTCCGCTTGGTCTTGGAAGTTCATGAACCCTTCACAAAGGCAGTATCATTCGCCTTAAGGAGCTCGACGATCTTTTCATTCAGAAACTCCAGCTCGACATCCTTTGCCTTTAACTCCTCTTCTTTCGCCTTCAACTCAGCATCTTTCCCCTTCAGCTTGGCATCTTTTCCCTTTAGAGAATCCTAGTGCAGGGCATCCAGGTCAACACAAACTCTTTTTAGCTCAATCACCTCGAACATCAGGACAACTACCTTTTCCTCAGCCGCACCTTTCCCAGCCTTACCAGCATTAGTAGCGTCCAGGGTGTTCCCTAGCTCGCGCTCCTTTGTAGGCAAATTAGCCCTAAGTTGCTGCTTGGTAAGTTTGAGCCCTTCCAATTCTGCATGCATGGGAGCCTACTCAGAGGATTCGCCAGCCAACTGAGTTGAAAGGCGAACGTGATGGAGCTCTATCATCTTGATGTACGCCATGGACTGACAAAAAAAAATATAATACCATCAATGTAAATAAGAAATAAAGGGACCCATCGAAGATATTCAAACAAAGGAGGTGGAAATACGCGATACCTCAGCTAGGCCCTAGATGGCCTGCTTGATTTTCCTCCCAAAGCTAACCTGCATAGCCACCTCGGGATCAAAAGCTGGGACCAGTTCAGCTAAAGCCTCCACAGCACCCATGGAATCGCACAGGAACCCACTGCCTTGGGTGATCATCTAAGGAGGATTTGGTTCACTCGTTTTGCCCTCTAACAATGTTGGCTGAGGGTGAGTAGGAGCCTCCTTTGGTAGCATCACCCTTTTGGACGAGGGGCTTGCTCTTGGACAGTGACTTAGTGGTTTCGCCCCCTCCTGCCTTGTGCCTTTCCCCAACAGATGGTTTGAAAGACATAGGAAGTGGAATATTGTCCCCATGGTAGGACAAGTCCATACGCTTCTCCTACAGCGTAGCATCTGTTGGAACCAACTCTTCTTTGGAAGGAGTCATCATAATAAGGGAAGGATCCATCTGATCAAGAGATTCTGTAAGACCCCATATTAAAATTAAATAAGGTTAATATTATCTTAAGAGTTCTCCTAAGATAATAAAATGATGGTAGAAAATTAGAATCATTGTTAGAATACTGATTTTGAAGTTTGAGTTTCAAGCATATTGAGTTTCAAGGAGGGTCCAGCTCTGCCAGAAAGGCCCACTTGCAAAAAATCAGAGCCATAGAAGCTCCCGAAGTATATACTGTATCTAAGTCTTCACGCTTAGACACGGCTATCACTTTCTCAGATTCAGATCTGAAGGGCTACCAACATCCCCATGATGACCCTTTGGTGGTAAGAGCTGTGGTGGCCAACAGGACTGTCCATCGTGTTTTGATTGACAATGGCAGCTCGGCAGACATCATTTTTGCTTCTTCTTTCGACAAAATGGATAAAAGAAGGGAAAATCTTGAACCAGTAAGTGCCCACCTAGGGTGCTGCCCCTGGGGTCAATCCAACTCATCTTCACCTTAGGTGACCCACCCTGTCAGACTACAACAACTATGAAATTTCTAGTGGTTGATGCACCTTGAGCATGTAATATGCTCCTTGGAAGACCCTCACTAAATTCTATAAGGGCTATTCCCTCTGCCTATCACCTTGTAGTGAAGTTTTCAATAGAAAACAGAGTTGGAGTGGTCCGAGGAGACCAATGCGTAGCATGAGAATGCTACCTGGCATCCATGAGAAATAAGGAGGTTAAGAGCATCCAATTGGATAAGCTTGACATGAGGGATGAACTCGAGACCAGGCCAACACCATCAGAAGAGCTGGAACCTGTTCAAATGGATGAGGAGCCAGAGCATCTTGTTTACGTCGGATCCAAGCTGAGCAAGGAAATCAAAGATCTCCTCATCCAATTCCTGAAAAGGAATAAGGAAGTTTTTGCATAGAAGCAAGAGGACATGAAAGGGATTGATCCCTCTGTCATCACTCACAAAGCTCAGCGTGAATCCAGCCTGTAAGCCTATTAAGCAGAAGAGGAAGAGCTTCGCCGCCCCGGAGCGTCAGAAAGCCATCAACAAAGAGGTCAGCAAGCTTCTTCACACGAAAGCCATTCGAGAGGTGGATTACCCAGTCTGGCTAGCCAATGTAGTCCTAGTCAAGAAGACAAACGAAAAATGGCGTCTTTGCATTGACTTTACAG